GTGTTGTGGGGGGGGCACAGTTGGGTGTTGAGGGAGAGAGCCCCTCACCCTCCACTTCCCCCCTGCCCCTCTCATCCCATTCACAGAACATGGCTTTCACGACCCTCCTGGTCTCCTCCGCCTGTCGCCATGGCTGCGGGGAGGGGGTGGGAGGAGACAGTTGGGGCCAGCCCCTGCCCCTGCTGCTCCAGCTAACCCTCCACCTGCCCTTTCTCTCCCTTCCACAGGCTGGGCCCCATCCCCTGCTGCTCTGGGGGGGCAGGGGCCGGAAGATGGTGGCCAATGAGGAGGGGGAGTGGAGAGAACTTGAGCCGGGGCCTCCCCTCCCCCATTTCCTCCTCGGTCTCTACACCCGCCTCTGGAAGGAGCTGGGGGATGGCTCCTGGGCCCAAGGTGGGGGAGGGGCCCTGCTGGCTGGTGAATCGCAGGGCCCGCTCTGGAAGGAGGTGGGTGTGAGAGCTGAGGGGATCTGGGCCCTAGCCCCCTCTCCCTGCTCTGCCCAAGAAAAGATCTGGCCACTCCTTGGTGAATAACCTTCCACCAGCCTCCCTGAAGCAGACTGGGCAGTCCTGCCTTTACTCCTCTCTGCTCCCTGTTGGCCTGATCCAGTTCCCAGCTGGGGCTGGTTTGCCTAACACAAAGTCCTGGTGACTGACCCTAGCGGGGCCTTGGTTTCCGTCATTGCAACTGTGCAAACTGTGGGACAGGGCCCCGTGTCTGCACATCACAGGAGCAAAGGCTCCTGCTTCCTGGGGGGGTGGGAGGAAGCTGGAGGGGAAGCCCTGAGGAAGAGCTCCTAACTGGAAGCCTGCCCTCTGGGCCTCCTGCTGGCTGTGGAGTGGGGAGGAGAGCATCTCCCAGAGGAGGCTCCATCCCATGGAGGCCTTCATTGATTGGTGTGCCTGAGGAATCACCCCCACCCCCAGCCTCTGCCCCTTTGGGGAGCGCACTGTTTACCAGGTCAGAACTGGAGTTAGGCTTCTGAGACCAGCACTTTAGCCAGGAATGGGCCACGCTGGAGCTCTGAACCTTTGGTTTTGGGTTTTGATCAGTCTCAGGATTGTTTATCCAATGTTGAAGCCCGCTTGAATAGGATAGGATGGCGAAGTTGTGAGTGAGCTTGAAGACTCTAAGCGGAGTCCCTGGGTAAAATCAGGAACAGCTCACATTTTGATCTCACTGCCAATGAAAGCCCATCCCTAATGCTCACTACGAGAGAGGGAACCACCCTCACGATTTTGTTCTGTGTTGAATGCATATGGTGGATTTGAAGACCATGGATGGGGCTTCCCCCTGCGGCTTCCACCCTTAGACCTGAAAGCTTCATGGTGTTGCTGGGACCTCTGACTCTGCTCTTCCACACTCTGGTCCTGGAGGTACATCTGAACTGGTTCCCTTGAGGCCCAGAACTCCTTTATCTACTAAGGAGGGAGAGCTTTCGAGTAGGGGAGAATAGATGGTGCTGTGGTCCTGGTCAGCAAGCTCCTCCAGAAGAGAAGCTGACCGAGATCACGTCCAGGGCAACACAGTTTCACATGAATGGCCCCCAGACTTTTGTGGTTGCTATCAGTCCCTTCCACCTGAGGGCCAAGCTTAAGGTCTCCACTTTAGCTCCCTCCATGGACCCTGTCTCCCCCCCCCCCCCCGCCCAAAACCTTAAGAAAAAGGCAGTCTCGATGGGAAGGATGTGAGGAAGGAGGCCAAAGGAGGAAGGGGACACAAAATAGAGGGTTAGCACTGAGTTGGGAGGAAAGGGGTCTCAAAAATGAGAAGGGGCCGAGGGAGGCCAAGAGAGCTGAGTGGGCCGGGGCCTGGGAGAAGGGACGAGGGGGCAGGGCCGGCATGCGTCTGCTGCGGGCCGGAGCTCTTTTCACATTGTGCTACTGTCTGCACCTACCACTAGCAGTGCAATGTTAAAAGGGCATTGGCCGCGTAGTGCTACCCAGCGCCGGCTGCCTCCTCAGCATCAAGACCTCCTCTCCCCTCTGGGCACCAATCAGCTATCTTCCTGGTAAGAGTTTGGGAAGCCTCTTAGTAGCCATGCTAACAGCTCACATGAACGGAAGCACTTCGATGTCCTAGACACTTCATCCTCGATGATGAAGCCAATGAACTTCTTGGCAAGTAACACCCCCATTTTACAGATGAAAGCACTGAGATCCAGACAGGCTTAAGCACGGTGTCCATGGTTACACAGCTTTTTAGACTGCAGAGCCTGGATGTAACCCTGTCCTAAGGCTGCCAGCTCAACCATTTTTTGGTAGACTTATCTGGAGAGATTTGAGTCGGTTCTGTCCCCTGGGAGGCTGCCTGAGCTGAGGGCTGGAAAGTTTTGATGCCACCTGCTGGTTGTATGAGGGTATCTTCCAAAACCTCAAACCTTTAAGGACAAAAGTGGTGGCTTGTCTCAGAAGGAAGAGTTCCCAGGCTCAAGCTGGGATTGGAGGGTGGGTGGAGAAAGTTGGGAGGATCGCTCATAGGACCAGAGTAGACCTCCATGACAAAAAGTGGATACACAGCAAAGAAAAAGGGCTAACCTGGAAGGACTGCTCACCAGGGACAAGGACCTGTGTGCCCCCTGGCATTCCACACCTGCAGCTTTTAGGGCATGAAAGGGAGACCTGCAGTTCCGAGCATGACCCCATGGGAACTACAGGGCAATTAACGATACTTCTCCGGGGTACACCTGTCTGGGCATTCCAGGTTTAGACAGCAGTGCCCATGGCCTGACCTTGAAGAGTAAGTAGCACCCCTGGAGCCAAGGCCACAGAATGATTCTTTCCAGAGAGATTACAAAGAACTTGAGGGCAGTGAGTACTCCACTTACTTCTCTGTTTCCCACAGTGTCTAGTTAGCTTAATGTACATTTGTGAAAGTAAACAGAAAGGGGGCTGATTTGGGGAACTTTAAGAAGGTTGCTAATTTGTGCCTGATTTTCAGGGTTAGCACTTGGGGCTTGAGAAGAGAAGACTTCCTGGACTTTGATGCGGGAAGTGGGACTGCGAGGGTTTCTGGATCCCTTCCTGCAGGCAGCCCTCTGAGGCCTCCCAGAGGGAGGTGCTGGACATCATCCTTTCGTGGCTTGCATTTGTCTTGCATCTTCTACTTCCCTCCTACCTTTTTGCCCAGACAGCCTCTCCTTCCTTCCTTCCTTCCTTCCTTCCTTCCTTCCTTCCTTTCTTTCTTTCTTTCTTCCATGTATTAACGTTTCTGTTTGAGCCTCTTCTCTGGGCACAAAACAGCCATTTGATGATGTCATGCCACTCTTGTTAGAAAAACAAGAATTTTTCAGTGTTTTCCCAATGCCCTTGGGATGAAATGTAGATCCCTAAATGGTCTGTCTTTCCTGTGTCCTCTTTCTCACCCACTGGCATTTCCACTCCAGCGCTGGGAAACTTCTATTCCCTCCTCAAATTAAGCTAAGCCGCTTGACACACAAAGTTCTCTGTGTCTGAAACAGTCCCCCTCCCCACTTCCCCCTATGCCCACCCGAGGGCTCCTCCTCCACGTGCCATCAGTCATCACCTCTGTCTTTGACTCCTCAAATCTAGGCTAAGCCTCTCCTAGGAGCTCCAGAAAATGCTGCCCAGAGCCCTTGTCCCCTGTTCCTAGAATTGGCTCGATATTGTTTGTCTTCCCTAGCAGGAAGGACTGAAAGTCCCCCGAAGTCAGGCCACAGCTGCCTTGTTCTCCACTGCCCCCTCAGTGCTGAACACAATGCCTGGCAGGTCACGGGTGCTCTACAAAGATCGGCGATATCAGTGAACGAATCTGGATACAAGCTAGCTTTAAAAAAAAAAAAAAAAGTATTTTTATGATGTGTACAGTCCTCCCCGCAGTTGTCAATGACCCAGCAAATAACAATGGGAATTTCATATCACTGCCAGAAATTGCGCGTGGGTCACACGGTGGCCCTGATGCTGCGGTTTTTGAGCCATTTCGTTCCACTTGGTCTCTGCTGTGCTGGGGCAACACCTTGCGTTCATCGATTTTCCTTTCAGCTGTAAGTGTGGCCACGAATTGATCCAGACATTTCAAAACCAGGCTGAAAAGCAATAGGACTCAAGGACACCCTTGTTCAGGGAAGAGACCCTTCCAGGTGCCCAGTCCCGGATCCAGGCAAAAACAGGATTCATTGTCAAGGGCTCTGGAAGAGGAGCTGATTTGGACGCTCCCGCTGGAACACAGCTTGCAAAAGCTCCCTCTTCACTAAGCAGACCTCACCTGAAGACCCAACCCCTGGTTAAAGCTCAAGTGGGGTCTTGATACAGACAAAGCAGTTGCTGCCCTCTAGTGGTGAGAAGGGACAGGCCCCTGGGGGGCGGGGGGGGGGGGGGGGGGGGGTGACAGAATAGTATATGGTAGGTACACGGGAAGGACAGTCAAGAGGACAGAGTCCCTCACAGTTGCTTTTCCCCTTTTTATTAAAAATAGACCCAAACACTTTATATATCATACAAAAATTTCGTTCGCTGGTGGCAGCCACGAGGAAGCCTGACCCCGTGGCACTGATGTCCCACCTCCCCTCCAAGGGACTGGGTCCCAGAGAGCAGTGACTGGGCCTCAGAGAACGCCCAGAAAGCCTGCTCATGCTGGAAACAGCCAGCTGGGGTGGGGGTTGTTACAGGAGCAGCTTTCCCCACCCCACCCACTGGCGAAGATACTCGAAAGTGCCTCTTTAGTGCCAAGATGAACTAAAAAGTGGAGTGAAATGGAAACCCCTGTGATTCTTTTATTTCCCAGGGCTTGGGATCTGGGATTTTTTTTTTCTCCCCTTACACCCCCGAATCCTTTCTCCTACAAATGGGGGCGGGAAACTTCACCCTCAGAGACTGGTGTCTCTCGGTGTCTGAGGCCAAAATTTCACTCCAATTCAAGCCCCTTCTCATCTGCTGTCCTGTGGCCTGGGACCTACCAGCCCCATGCCTAAGGCTTGTCCTCCGTTCACTCAAACATGAGATTAGGGCAAAAATGGGTCCTTCCATGGTCTTCTGCCTGACCTATGCCCTGCCATCACCTCCGTTTTCAGGACCTTAGGGCTAGAAGGACCCACAACTATCCTCTTTCCCCAGCTCTCTCTCCCTGACTGCTGCCCACTCCTGAGCCTTGAACACCCCTGGGGTACCCCAGACCACCCTTCCAAAGGGGCCTGGGGGTGATGAGGTGGAGGGGGGGAGGGGTGGTGGGAGCCGGCTTCCCCCCCAGGGGTGGGGCAGTACTCATGCTGGTATGGACTGCTTGGCAGGGCCAGGGGACAGGTGTGGGGAGGGTGGGCATGCGGAGGAAGGGCACAGCCTGCCTGAGCCCCTCAGTCCCAGCCGTTGTCTTTCACCATGTGTGACATTTCAATGATGTACTTCCCCTCCTTGTACTTCTGGCTTGTCTCAAAAGCCTGCTCCTGGTGGAGGGGAAGCAGTGAATGTAGGACAAAACAAACCCCCTCCAGGTCCTCCTCCTACCAGGGCTCCTACCCCTGCCCCCCCAAAGCCCCTGCGCAGTCTGGCCCAGCAACGAGCTCCCTGCTTCTTTGGACCATGCAAAAGCCTGCAGTGGTCCCTAGGGCTCAGGGGGCCATGACGAGCGTCCATGTGAGAGGGTGGCCCCCTCTCTAGGTACTTACATACTTCCAGCCCAGGGTGGTTTTGCAGCTCTCGCAGAAAATGTCAGCTACCGAGTGGAGCCCCGTGAGCAGGAGGCGCTGTTCAGCGGGTCCGCAACCCACGTTGACCCTGTCTCAGGAAACACGAAGGACCCGGCACCAGTGGAGTCATTCTGTCAGTTAGGCCCCCAAATAGCCCAAAGGAACTTCCGCCTGGAGAGCACTTAGCCCACCCCATGGGAAGCCCTGGCCGGCCACACTCCACCCCTGAATGCCTAGGGCCTGGGCCTCTCCTCTCCAGGGCAGCGGTTCCAGTTCTGCCCAGACTCTCCACGAGAGAACCAAGGACTGAGTTTCTGGACCCCTTGGCAAAAGGAGAGGCAAGAGCCAAAGGTGCAAGGCCACCTGCTGATGGCTCACCCCCTTTCTCCGCAATGGAAAGTTGCTCGGACTCACGAACACACATACACACAAAGAGAGAGGTAGACTCACACGGAGTTAAACAGGTAGGCTCGGCCGTGGCTCCCTTGGAAAGACTGTGGAGACATAGGACAGATAGTGACTGCTGGGTTGCCCTTGGCCCCACTGCCTGAGCCCCCCCCAGGGGCGAGGGAGAGGGCGGACAGCCTTTGTTGCCTCTCCCCTCGGTGAGTCCTGGTGGGAGAGACGTGGCGGAGCCCCACCTGGCGTACCTTGGAGATAAGCTCATCGTGTTTGGCCAGGTGTGCGCGGCAGTGGACGCAGCTATACGTGCGGTGGCAACGGGGCAGGTAGCTGCGAAACGTCTTGGCAGGGAGGCAGGCAGGGCCCGGGCCAGGGTCGCAGCTGGGCATGACAGGCTGGAGGACAATGCCCTGGCGGGCCGGAGGGGCTGGTGCCGTGCAGCCCCCGCACAGACGGTCGCAGGTGAAGCAGCGGAGCAGGTTGGCTAGAGCCGTGTTTCAGGGCAGGAGAAATGTGGGGGGGCTGCCCGGCCAGGGCCCCCCCAGACGTGAACCAGATAGAAATGGAAGTCACCTGGGAAGAGGAAAGAGCGCATCAGGAGAGCCCTGACCTCCAGAAGAGCCCCTCCCCAGGAGGAATGGGGAAGATGGGCTCCGCTCCGCCCTGCCCTGACTTCCCCCCCCCACCAGGGACCCTCAGTGTGCCAGTCGCGCCATCGCCCAGTCCCCTGGATTCCCGGCTGCACTGGCAGCTGTTCCAGGCCTCTGATGCCACAGCCGGAGAGGTGGTGTCTCTCCCTCCTGGGGCAGGAGGAGCCTTCGCCGTTTTCCACTGAGAGCAGCCTGCTGGTACCAACGCTGCCATGGGAGCATCGTCATTGGCAAGTGTCCTCTCTCCTGGGTTTCAGCCCTTTTGTGAGGGTCTGCACCCCACGTGTGCTGCTAGGCTCGGGTTCAGAGCCTTTGACAAGTTGGGGAAGCCTGGCGGTTTTTCTCTTCTGCGGCCTCCATTTGCAATGCAATCAGTCCTTCATACATTCTGTGTAGGGGAGAAGCCGGCCCAAAAGGCAGGCAGGCAGGCACACACACCCTGCTTAGCTCTGTCCTGGGGCTGGGGTCCTGCACTCTGGGAATTAGAACTTCATGGATGTCTCCTTTGGTACCAAAGACCTCAGACGTGGCCGCTTGCCAGCCCTGCACTTTGGTCCACTCGTTCCTGCTCAGAAACAGCGATTTGGCTCTTTTCTCAGCCTCTGAGCCCCTCTGGTCTCTACTGCTCTTTGCTCACTGTTGCCTTAGCCTCAGTTAAAGACTTGGACATCCAGCCCTAGGAGAGAAAAATATCTTTCCTTCAGGCAAATCTAACAGCTGGAAGCAATGGGTAATGGGGATCACGGCAGGGATGGCTGCCCTCCTGGGCTGTGTGGTGTGGTGTTGGATCGACGTCCACTGCAGAAGTGGGGGGGACTCCTAGTTTCAAAACCTAGGTGTGGGGGTACAATGAGGAGAACGTTTCCACCTTCTCCCTGGAGTAGGGACAAACAGCAGTGACTCTGTGGGTGACATTAGATAAAATTGCTGGGTTTGGATTAGGAATGTTGAGGGAGAGGTCAGTATCCGCCCAGACTCCAACCCCAAAGTGGCAGAGGGTGCTAGAGGCAGCGGATAAGAAGGGAGGGGCCCCCTGTTGGCTCTGATAAACGGGTGAGGTTCTGCCTTCTCCTCCATGGGGCCTTGAGGCCTGCCGTGGGTGACTTAGCTCAAGTCCGGTTCCGAGGTGCCAGCTGGGTACTCTGGCAACACAAGGCCACTAAGCAGAGCAGAAGTGGCATGACTGCGAGTAGCCTGGGCAAGCAGGCTCTCATCCTGTGCCCTGTGGTGGCCACTGGCGCCCCAGCCGTTCCAGTGTTTCCTGGGGCCACCAGGCCAGTCTCCCCACAGAACCCCCACCCCGGACAGAGCTCATCATCAGTTTGAGGTCCTCTACCTTTGGCTGGGCCCCAGAAAGACACCTTGAGCTGAGTTCAGGGTGACATTGGGCTCTGGCCGCAGAAGAGGGGCCCTCCTCACCAGCGTCCACTGTTCAGCGCCCACTTCCCGGGTCTGCCTTCAACTTTGCCTGTGAGCTCCCCTCTGCTGCGCTCCACCTAGTGCACCTGCCAGGGGCCAAGCCAGGGGGCCAGGCTGGGTCCTTGCTCTCTATCTCCTCCCCGGGCCTCCGACACACCTCCCTCCCTCTCTCTCCCCGGCTTCCCCATCAGGCCAAGGAGAGGCTGCACAGAAGGCCAGAGACTCACTCACAGGAGGGGGAGCTGGGGTCATTGCTTCCCTGGCTCAGATCACAGGAAGAATCAAGTTGGGCAAATGACGGAAAAAACAAAGGCAAGCTGAGTGCAGGGGAGAGGATATTCCCCCAAGTGAGATGGGGCTGGACCGTGGGAGGTGGGGGAGAGGGAGCGCTGGGGGAAGGGGGGTGCTGAGCAACCAGCGCTGACAGCAGAGGCGCCCAGGCGGAGACTTGAGGAACCAGGTGCGAATCCTGTGCCTGGTTGGGGGTGGGGGACACGACACCTGCTCACAATGGATTTTCTCATCTGCTCCGAGGTTTCACCGCCCCCCCCCTCCCGGGCTGGCGTTCTCGGCATGGTATGGTCCAAATAATTAGCAGCGCAGCCAGCCTCCGGGCGGGCTTTGGGGGTCTGCACCAGCAGCAAAACAATAAACAGTGAGGCCTGATGCAGCAGCCAAAGTTGCCGGAAAATAAGTGCGGGAACCGTCAGAGCCCTGAGAGGGATGGAGGAGCTGAGAAGGGAGCGGAGGCAGCGGGGAGGGGGAAGGGAGGACAAAGGGTGGATGAATAATGCTTTTGCAATGGGGAGAAAGCAACACGCAGCAGGAGGAGGAAATTTGCGAAAGGGAAAAAAATTCATTTGGAGAAGGGCTGCCCCCTCACCTTGAGGTCTGCTCCAGAGATCTCCGTCTATCTCTCTCTCTTTCTCTCTCTCTCTCTCAATCTCTCTGCTCACTCTTCTCTCTTCTCTCTCCGCTCCTTCAATTGGGAAGGGGATGGGGGCGGGGGAAGGTAGTTAGGGGCTGGAGACTGGGGCTGCCAAGCTGGCCAGCTGCTGGGGGGGCCAGAGGTTGTCTCTCGTCTGTACCTCGGTCTGTGGGTGAATGTAGCTGTGTGTTGTGGAACTGCATCATAACACTGTGAGTCATCCATCCCCCCACCCCCTCACCTCCCACGTCAGAGCAGGGCTGGGAGACACAGGAGGCGGGTTGGGAGGAAAGGAGGGGGCAGGCGTCGAGGGATGGGTCTAGGGGAGGGAGCAGGGGGGTGGGAGCAGACGGATAGGACGGGAGGAGGGATGCTAGAGGAGAGGCTGGTTGCTGAGGAGGAAGGCAGTGTGGCCAAGGAGACAGAAGGAACCTGGGGGAAGGACAGGGCTGGGCAAGGATGGAGTACGGGTGGCAGGCTGGAGGGAAGGAGGTGGCCAGGCAGTGACAGTGAGAGATGGATGCAGAGAACTAGGCGTGTGCACACGTTCAAGAGGATATATTTCCCATCTCAGCCCGGACACCAGCCCTGACACAGGGAGAAGACATACTGATGGTTACATTGTGCTCCCCAAGCTTGAACTGGGCACTTCCAAGCCTCGTAGCCTCAGCTTAATGCCCCTCAAGGAGTCATAGACAGAATATGACCTCTCACAAGCAGGAACCTCTCCTCAGCTACCTCCAAGTTACTTGTGCTTCGGGAAGAGAGACACCCACATTACGTAAGATTCTCTACTGGGCTGTAAACTTTCTGAGAAAGGTCCTCTGGGAAACTCCTCTCTGCATCCCAAGACTGCAATGTCTAGTGCAGAGCCTTGCCAGAGAAGATGATCACAAAACAGCAGTCGAGCCGCATCTTCAGACAAGGTCCAGGGGTCTGGCTTTGGTCTCAAAGGGACCTGAGTTTGAGTACCATCTTGGCCAGTACACTCACCAGGAATCCCTGGACAAGTTTCTGATCTTTGTGCCGCCAGTTTTCCACTCCTCCTAAGATTTACCTCATGGAGATGTGAAGTAAAGTGAGGTAGCATGTAAATACCGAAAAAGTGACTGGCATACGATCCACACTTAGTAAACTGTAGTTATTTCCAAACACTGTTTTCAGCTTCATACCCGGAACCCCAGAGAGGATTTACTATTAAATTCTGACATCTCAAGAGACACATACCAACTTTATACCTTATGAAGAACTTACACTTTTCAGGGCTATTTTTCTAGCAGCTTCCAATTACATTTCATTTGACTCAGATTCTGTTTCTCATGGAGTGCTGTCCTGTGCGTATCTCTGAAGTGTGTGGATATGGAACATATCCTCTAAGATAAAAGCCCCAATTTCTAACAGAGGCTACCATCTAGAAAATGAAGTGTGACAGAGATAGGTACTCAGAAAGGACAGCTCATGGGTCCTTTGTCTTTTCACATGTAAGGCAAGGGAGGAGTAGGGAAATGTGGGTAATGGGAGGCATTGCTAGCTGGGTATGAAAAAGTACCAGGAGGGACACCTGGATGGCCCAGTCGCTTAAGCCTCTTCCTTTTGCTCAGGTCAAGATCCCAGGATCTCTTTGCTAAGCAGGAAGACTTCTTCTCCCTCTCCCACTGCCTGCCACTCTTCCTGCTTGTGCTCTCTCTCTCTCTCTCAAATAAATAAAATTTAAAAAAAAAAGTAATTCTATTTAATCTGGGAAGATTCTGGGGTTTAAGATAAATTCTGAAAACACAGTGCAAGTGTCTTGAGTGATATTACCAGAAGTCTGGAACTGGAACTGAGAGGGATAACTGGGTAAAGAAAGAATTGTTTCTGTCTGGGCAGCAGATGAAAGAGGAAAGGTAAGTGGGGGGAGGAATTTGAGGAACCATTCTTGAGGAAAACATCGGGAAGTGGGGGAAAGGTAGGTGAGTAGTTCTTAGGGCAAGGACTGAAAGTTTGGAGGAAAAAAAAGGGGATACCAATTAACTCAGGAAGAAAATGATCAAGGGTTTAACTGGAGAGGATAATGAAAAAGACATATGAGGACAGTATTCTTTGGGGGTGGGAGTGGAGATGGCAGGAACGCTTGGTGAAAGATGACAAGGAAGATGAGAGAGTGTAGGCAAGCATGCATGCTGTAAATGTTGTGTCCTCACTCTGTTTAAGAAGTGAATTGGAAGGGGCCTGGCTGGCTCAGTAGGTGGAACTTGTGACTCTTGATCTGGGTGGGGGAAGGGAGTTGTGAGTCAGAGCCCCACAATGGGGGGCAGAGATTACTTAAAAAAAGGGGGGGGGGAGTGAAATGGAGATAATCTAAAGGCAAGAAGAGTTTATTTTCCCTAAGTTCAGCTTGAGATGGATATATAAATAAGCCAAATAAAGATGACCTTCAGATAATTGGAAGAAATTGCCTCAAGGGACAGAGTGTGGAGGTGAAGAAACAGATCTGGGAAATAGACTGCAGGGAAAGAGGAGAGGCTGAGCTTATTCCGGGAGAGAATTTGCAAATAGAAACCTGGAACTGAGTTTTTGAAGAGTGGTGAAAAGTTATGGGATACCTGAAAGTTCGCTGGAGAACTAATGCATGTGTGGTGAATGAATGAATTCAAGCAAACCATTAAGGAATAAGCCTTGGGAAGTGAGGATGGCACTCGGACAGAATGAGTGCTAAAGCAAGGTGGGTGTGAAAGACGCAACCCAGAAAATAATCGTCCTGGGCTTCTTGATCCAGAGTAACCATGGGAGTTGGACTGAAGGAAGTTACTCATCCGTAAACTGGGGGGTGTTAATTATGGTATGTGCTTCATAGGACTCCTGTGAGGATTAAATGAATTTACACCTGTAAAACTCAGAGAATCGTACCTGGCATCTAACACTATGTAAGTGTTTGCTACTATAATAACTAGACTCAGAATCCCAAATCTTGGGCTTGAGTCCTAACTTGGGCAAGTCCCTTCACCTACCTTAGTCTCCTTCCTCATCTGAAATTGGAGATGATAAAACTGACCTTATAGGTTGGCTGTGAAAGAAGATACTGGAAAAGGCTTTGAAAATTTTAAACTATTGTACAAATGGACGGTATTATTAGAGCTCCCCCTCCTCAGCCTATAATAAAAACTTAAAAGCTAACATCAGATGCCCTGTTACACTGTGCTTAGTACTTTACAGTATCATCCCATTCAATCTTTAAAACAACTTTAAGAGGTTGGGTACTGTTATTATCCTTGTTTACAGACCAGAAACTGGGTCTCAGAGCATTTATGCCTGATTTGCCCAAAGTCACACAGCAAGAAAGTGGCAAAGCAGAGCACAAGATTCCAAAGCCCAAGCTCCTGAAGATTATAGATGTGGCCCAAACTGTCGCCTGTGGAATAAATGATTGGCTTTGTAGAACTGTCAGGAATTCAGGGAGGGAAAACGAGTCACCAACATAAATTCCCTCTCAAGAGGAGAGACGTTGTTGGGTAATGACTGGAAGAAATTCTTGGATATTTATTCTTTTATTAAAAGAAAAAAAAAATTAATGCCCTCTAGGTGCCAAGCGCTGTGTCAGAGAGGGGAGGACAGCCCAGGTTTGCCTCTGACAGGCTGTTTTCCTCCACTTTTCCTTACTCCCAGATTTCCCCCCACCTCCTGGCTTGTGGTCCAGGCAAGCGGATGGTCGTGGGACCCAGATGGCGAGCCTAACCAGCCCCTTCCCTCCCGCCCCCCAAACCCTCCTCCTCCCCTCCACACCCTCCTCCTCCCCCGCCTTCCCGCTACCCACCAAGGGCCTCTCCACCGCCCTTCTCTTTCCCCCGCGGCAGGTGAGCGGGAACACTGGTGCTAGAGTCCGCACATAGCCGCGCCTCGGCAACCATTGGCTCCTTGGCGGGTCCCCGCCTCGTGCGGGGCGTAACCGCCTCTCCTCCTACCCACTGCTGGCCAACTTCGCTAACAATGACGGCCGCCGCCCCGCCCACCTTTGGCGTCACGAGCAAAACAATCCCCTAACTACAACTCCCAGAAGGCCGAGCGGCTGCGCGAGCACAGCAGCCTGAGGCCATTCGGGCAAAACTACACATCCCAAGAGGCATCGCGCGACCTCGGCTTCTCCATTGCGCAAGTGCGGAACCCCCTCTGTTTCCGGCGTTCGTCTGGGCGAGCGTGGAGTGCTGTTGGGTTTAGGTGTCTTCGGGTCTCTTCCATTTACGGGTTTGGGTTTGTGGCTGCACAGGTGAGATAACAGGCTCGGGAATGCAACCGTCGCCCCCTTAGGGCCAGGACGGATTTCGGCGTCTGGGGGTCCCGGGACAGATACTGGACTTAGAGCTGCGATTCGCGATCGGAGATCATTCTTCACTATTTCTCGGCGTTTTCTAGACCACGAAGTAATTTTTTCCTTCAGCAGTGCCCGGAACAACACTTTGTGAGAGGAAGCCTAAGTGCCTCCACTTGACAGCCGAGGAAGAGGTCCAGAGAGATAAGGTGATTTGTCTAACGACGGTACTTGGCAGTTGCTGAGCGGGGCGTTACTGCTCTAAGTCCAAACCCAGTATTTTCTGCTTTGCATCCAGATCGCAGACGCCCTTTCTTGTTAAGAGAGTTGGGGAGTGGACTTCTGTTGCCCTCTCAAGTGGAGTATCCCAATAGAGTGACGAAAGGAGCTATGGAGGTGATATAATCAAGTCTTAGGTCAATGTGTAGAAATAATTTTATGTCTGAATCATTTATTCACTCGGTGAATTTACGAGGTGCCTTCGGGTTGTCAAGCCCTATTCTAAATACTGGAGATACAGCAGCAAACCAGACTGCCCAACCCTTAGATTCCAGCGGGGGTAGTCAGACAATAAACAAATACATAGTGAGACACGTAGGGAGAAAAACAAAGCAAGGTAAGGGAAACTATCCATGGGAGGATCTTGAACAGCGTCGTAACTTCCGTTTAGATCTGATAATTAATTTGTGTTCTAGGTACAGCAGCTACACAGAAAAGATGGGAGAGGAGGCCAACGATGACAAGAAGCCAACAACTAAATTTGAACTAGAGCGTGAAACAGAACTTCGCTTTGAGGTGGAGGCATCTCAGTCAGTTCAGTTGGAGCTGCTGGCCGGCATGGCAGAAATCTTTGGCACAGAGCTGACCCGAAACAAGAAATTCACCTTTGATGCTGGTGCCAAGGTGGCTGTTTTCACTTGGCATGGCTGTTCTTTACAGCTGAGTGGCCGCACC